GGCTGATGTGCTGACAGATCACAGACATGTTTGTCTTCAGCTTGTTTTCGTATCAAACGTTGGAGACGTCTGAAAGGTGTTTATGTCATTCAAATGGCAGAGTTCATTACACGCTTCTCCTCGGTGCTGAGGGTAGAGCGCAGGTGTTGCTGTCGCCTCCTCGCGTCGCTCAACATGCTGTAGACCTGGAGCTCAGAGGTGTTTCATCTCCTCCTCTCTGGCTGCACCTACAACTGTCTGAATGCCTCGTCAAACTCTTTAAGGGAATCTATGTTGGGAAGTTCAAACTTCCATCCAAACAGGAACTTTTTGTGGTTTTATTTTCAACGCTCAGCACGTGACAGTCCTGCAGCTGTACAAGCCTTCCACTCCGCTGATAACTGACCTGCTGCTGCGTTCATTTCTTACATTGTTCACGGCTCATTTACATGACTGTGTTGTTGCTTTTTATGCTATCTCAGATTCATCTCATGGATTTTTAATTATTTTGTTTAGCTCAAACTGCTGATTTGTTTTTTCTGCTGGCTGGCACAATGGGGCCACCTCAGCAACTTCAGCTGGATTGTTCTAGAAAGAGTTTGCAATGTTTTTCTGGTACTTGTGTTGATAAATACATGCAAGCAGGGGTGTACTGGGACCAAAATCCAGCCCTGGCATTTTTACGAATCGTCGGCCCTCAGTCGGCCCTCCCCATTGTGAGAGCAGTGGTGGTGGGGGTTGTTGCCGCCCAGAGACTTGTCGCTAGGCCGAATGTGAAATAATATGGACTGGGACTGTTCAATTACAAGCAGGGCCAGACCGCTGCGACCGGGAGCCCTGGCCTTCCAGATCAGCTCATTCTCCACAGGCGGAGATCAGCGGGACATTAGCTACATGCTAACGCAGTAAAACAACTCCTACGTTGTCGCTCTTCTGCGTTTTTCTTGCTAAAAACGCCTGAAAAATCTCTGTTAGCTTCGGGTTACAATGCAGCTGATGTTCTGCAGATCACCAACTGTGGAGTAGTGTCGGCCCAAGCTGGGCAAGCAGCCCACTTGGCTAAGCGGCCCACCAGGACAGTGCCAGAATGCCAGATAGGCCAGTCCACCCCTGCATGCAAGTTAATGATAATATGTTCAAATGTCTTTGTGCTTTTCTGGACGATGCATTTTCATTCCAGTCCATCTGTAATCGTCTCTAGCCTCCCTGAATGGTATGAAGGTGTAAAGCACATAAGTCAGAGTAAAGGCCCGCGGGCCGGATGCACATTTTTATGTGGCTCGCGAGATAAATATCAAAAGTATATTAAAACTGGCCCGCTGGCCGATTTTACCGCAAATACTACAACTCCCATGATGCTTTGCGGTGCCAGCGCGGAGCAGACGCGCCCCCTCCTTTGTGTTTTTTCAGCGCCGAGGCAGTCAGAGGTAGTTGGGTGTCTGCAGCTCCGCTGTCTCGGACGAACTACACTCCTCTCACTCAGCACCGAGTTCACTCAGCTGTTTTCTGACGTTGAAGCCCAGAAACTGAGATTCTAGCCGCTCAGTAATGTGTTCACGACTTAAAGAGAAAGTTTTCAAACTAACGTCCAGACAGAGCTGATATAACTCCAGCGAGCAGCGACACGCTCAAACCAGCACGACTCTGTGGCTGCTTTCTGTTTCCTCCCCGACACACAACAACGTGGTCAAGCTGCTCAGACATGTTCATCAGCACAAACCTATGTGAGCACCTGTTGTCATCTAATGTTGTCATTATTATGATGAAGATGAACAAAACAACAGGAGTCTCCTCCTCAGCTCAGATCAACCCCATGATGCAGGTATCTGGCTGGAACAGGTGAGCATCACAGTAAACCAGTGGAGCAAACTGAGCTTTAAATATGTTGGTTTTATGCTCTTTTTCTGCTCCAAAACGTGAAACTTAACAGGTGAGATGTTGCATTTTCATTTAAGATAAAATGATATTTTTATTTTGTTGTTGGCACGTGAGCAAAGATTTAACCTACAGTAAACAAGAAGTGGAAAGGCTGCAGATAGATGAATAGAATAGAAAATCCCTTTATTGTTCCTCAGTGGGGAAAGCTAGACGTCACAGCAGCGATGACACTTATTACAGGAGAAAAAAGGAGAATAAAAAATAAGAAAAATGAATAAACAAGAAAACATAAATCCTGAATAGATTTTTAAAATGCTGAATATACCACAAGTAATGAATACCACTGATGTGTTTTATTTGTAACTGACTTGCTCGTGTGTAATTTGGTTATTCCACATTCAGTGTTAATGCAGAAATAAGTTTGTTTCCAAATTTAAAGGTTCAAAATTGCATTTATGTTGATAAAGAAAACGTGCAAATTTGCGTCACTTTTTCAAAAAATATTAAGTTTGGCCCTCGACTCCGTCCCAGAGTTTCATTTCGGCCCCTTGTGAGTTTGAGTTTGACACCCCTGGTGTAAAGGATGGATAGTTTACATCTTATTTATGAACCATAAAATGTGAGATTCCATAGAAATATCAATCTGATGGATCTTTGACTATTTTAACCAGAAGATCAGAACTTGTTATTGCAGGGATTAAGCGACACTTCGTGTTAACTCCAAGGAAAGAGAGAGAGTCAGGTTTAAAATAGTTAAGACATTTATTTCTACACAATTTAAACAAGACTAACTTAAACACTCTGTGTACTGATGGACTAAGGTGGAGTGAGACGTGAGAGGATGGTGTGTGTGTGTGGAGTGTTATTCAGAACCAGTGGATCCGGAGAAGCAGTTAGTTCTGAGTGGGAGTGAATGTTTCGCTCTAAGCCTTAGTAGGAGATTTATAACACACATGAAACACCATCTGTCGGTCTACGTACCCAGGGGAAGCCTCCAATCAGATCCAGAATGTCGAGGTCCTCGTGGACCCTCTTTGGTACCGAAGCCGGTAGAAAAGCAGCGGTGCCGACCAAACTAGTCTTGGAATGCTTCCAGGTCACGACAGGTTATCACTGGTGTCTCCGAGACCCTGAAGGGGTCGTGAGGTTCAGCTTTTATTCTGAAGGAACCGTTGCGGTCAGGTGTAACGTGCAACAGATTTTATCCAGCTTGTCTGAGGTTCTTTTGGCTGAAGAGGAATCTGGATGGCCTGTCCGAGATTTCTCTAGAACGCTTTGAACTAAAGAAAAGGTGGCATGGAATAGTTTTTATACTTGTCATATTTTGGTTTACTGGTGAATCAGAATTTGACATGCAAAAGAGGGTTTATGCAAACACCACAGAAAACCACGCCTAGCCCCAGAAACAAAGGTTCTGATTGGATCAGACAAAAGGAAACGTGTCGTGTGAATTTTAACATTACGTGTCTAGTGCAAATGTCCAAGATTATAATAACTTGTAAAATACTAATCACAGGATTATAATATCAAGTAATAACATTGTCATTTCACAGATTGATTGAACATTGGGCTCACATTATTATTGGTAAATAACAAAGTTGTTGATTATGTATTTATCAAAATAGTTCTTCGTCTTCGTTTGGTAACAGAGGTGAAGCAGTTCAGATGAGCAGAGTGCATGAAAGACCTTGGCCACTATCTCATGTAGATTAGCCTGTCAGAGACTTCATGTCTCTGCTCGAGTAGACACAGTAGATCATGACCTTTAGGTCAAAACAGGACATTCATGACACTACAAAGGACTCATCTGGTCCTACTGAGAACATGAGTATGACGACGTTGTTTTTGTTGTAGTTTTTCACTTTGCATGGTGACAGGTCATTCTATTATCTAATTTAAATTCAATACAATGTCTGAAAGCCTTGGAATTACTAACAGCCAGTCATGTACATAGTTGTATATAGCATCAAATAACTAATTACAGCTAAAAATGCTAGAAAAATGTGAAGCCATTTGGAATTTTCTGAGTTATTTATTTATTTTTAAATCAGGAGAATGTCCCAGTAAATGCAGGGAGTGGGAATAAAGCATCTACCGCAGCCAGCCACTAGGGGATGCTAGGGGTCCTTTTGGCTTTGAATTGCACAAATGTTTCACAAGATGGTAGAATAGATTTGACGAGGACCAATGAGTTTGCTGCAAAAACTGACCTGAACTCCAACACCCTGTGGCACACGTCTCCCTCTAATCTGTCATTAGTAGGATAGGAAGAGGGAACAGGACTGGTGAATTTATTCTCTTTGGAATATTAAAATACTTGTAGTTTCCGTTTGCACCCAAAACATGCAGAGATAATTAATGAAATCTGTTGAATTACATGGAAGTGACACTGTAGTAACTGCAACATTTGAATTATGTGTTGATTTGCTCAGCAGAGGTACTACTTGCAGTGTAATTAAAGAACTGTTCAGAAAACAAATAACTAGTTTTTAATTCTAGCAAGAAAGCAGAAAGACTTTAAAGCTCCATGACAACAAGATCAAACTTTTAATTCCCTGTCATCTGGTCACCGTCACAGTCAAATAGTTGTGAATATTGTTAATTTCTCTAAATATTTTAATACAACTGGAGTATTACGTTACATCATTAGTCAACGTAGTATCTGAAAATAAATCCAATTGTACTCATTATTTTCAGTTTGAATGTGTTTATTATGGTCATCTGAGAAATGGAGATGAATAGAACAACATTTTGATAAAAATAAAATCTAGAGGAGTTTTTGATATGGACTCCCATCTCCCCCAGAGCTGCCCTGAATGCATATAAAACACAAATGGCAGGATATTGACCGGAAAGTAATGAAATTGTGATACACTCAGCTAGAGTCTTTAAATCTAGGGGTGAGCACTACCCAATAAAATATTATTGTATTTTTCACCCACAAGATTTCTGACCATGTCTGCATCTGTTGACTCACCTCTAGACCTTTAGATTTGTTTTTATTTTCTTTTACATAACAGTGACAAAATGAAAAAGCTAAACATTAAACTACAAGTTAAGAGGAAGTCATTTAAAAGTAGTGTCAAAGATAACAGTTTTACAAACGTCAAAATGCATGTGTACTACATTACCCAGAAGGCAACGCGCAACACATAGGTACTACGGAAAGCAACAGGAGAAACTAATTAGCGCGTGCTGTTTTATGGCTGTGACACAAATATCGATAGATTTTGGTTGTAAGAGCATAACGTTCAGTGCAGGTGATAGTATTTGTTATTAAAGTTATTTTAGTGACTAAACCCCTTATTTAAAACTCCCTAAACAGATTTATTCTGTGTTTAACGACAGCGCCAAAGCGGAAAAGTTTGCTAAAGTTAGCCGCGATGCTAAAAACAACTAGCTAGCCACAGCTAGAAACGTAGCTGAGTTGAGTGATGCTGCTTTTGTGGATAATTCAAGAGTGTAACAGTGATGTAAAACTATGGTTATCTTACGAGTGGGAATGTGTCCTGGACTAGATGAAGATTTGCTGGGGAATTTGCGTGCAGCTGATATTCGAACAGGTGTGTGCGCGAACCTTTTATATTTGTTTTACGCTTTCTAATCAGCACTAACAATCCCGAACTGTTGTTGCTTACAGTGGAGGACCTGATTTCGTCTGACACCGAAGAACTTGCACGTAAATGCTCCGTGTCTTATAAGGTATTCATTCATTCATTCGTTCAGGAGTGATTTAATATCCCAGATTGCAGCTCACAGTGGGGGTACAGCCTCAAATGACCCCAGATCAGAAATACCCACGTTGTTTTCTTGTCATAAACACTACAGGATGAGGTGATTAGGACAAAATAGATCAAATCTTTAAATTATTAGTCACTCTAAGTGAAATAAATAACTTACTTTATTTATACATTAGCTTTTGTTTTTATATAATGTTCTGAATTTCTCGTGCCTTTAGAAATGAGTTGAAAAGCACGTTTTATTACTTTTTCTATCAAATTGATTGCCCTCTTTTAAGTCTTCGCTGTATCTAGGTGCATCATAAATATGAACCTTATTGCATGTTTTGGCAGAGTCATCTTTGGTCAGGTTCAGAACCGATTCCCTTCATCTTGAGCGGCTGAATAGAATAAAAAAAAAAAGTCAAATCAATATTTTAGTCTGACTGTCTCCCCTTTAATCATGACTCTTCTCCCTTTTCTGTCCTGAATGGAACATTTCAAAGTCCTTTTAAAACAACCGACTACTTCTCAGTGGTCATACTTTTTCATAAAGTTGCTGACTTCGTCCCAAGGTCAGATGCTGCAGTCTGCTCTGTGAAGTCTTTGATTTTGACGGGAGCTCTGTACTTTTGAGGGAGTGATTTGCTGGATTTTCTGCAAAAAGGTCGGGGTCAAAGGTGGTAATGCCACTAATCTAAAGAAAACATCCACAGATCCGGCACTTCACCTCATACATGGAGGTCGTAGAGGCAGCTGGAGGCACAGCTTTATTCATGTCACATCTGCCGGGAGCAATGCTTCTTTAATTTTTTAGAAAGCACTGCAGACATCTTTCATTTTTATGATGCAGTGTTAAGTGCCACTGAATTAGTGTATGTTTGCTGTTGAGCTATTATTAAAATTATGCTGTAAAGTGACATGCAATAAAAAGAAGACGAGTGACTGGAATGGTTTTTGTATCATAACCTAAAATGTTCCATTTACAACCGTAATTGTGTTTTGTTAGTAGAATAGCAACATGATTTCTTTAATAGACCTAAAAAGCTGAGAACATCAGCGATAATGGATGGAGGGGTACTTGCTCATCTTGAGCATCTCTTTAGATGTTGTCACCAAGTCCCTCCTTATTATCATGAAAACAATAAAATATGTTAAACCTAAAATGCCAGATTCAGAAAATGAACTTTTTTCCATGGTTTGCATAGAAAAATATAAAATAATTAGAGGGGCGGGGTAATGTAAAATGCTACACAATCCATTATGTAAGTAGCAAAACTATGAACAAAAATGATATGTGTTTAATATCCAGACTCTGAATACACCTTTTTGTATCTGACTCTGAACAAGCTTGGATTTGATACAAAGATGACATGTGAGAAGTCCTGCTTACCAGCAAATTCATTCTAAAGCGGCTTTCGAATGTCTGAGCAGAAATCCTTCACTGCAGTTGAAGTTGAGCATCCAGCAGAAGTAACAACGACCAGAATGCATTTTTGAGTGGAGGGCAACTTCAAAGATATTCCCCCGTGGAATCGTTGTGTTTTTCAAATATTCCACTTTTTTCCCCTCGCTGCCTCCAGTAGGTTCAGCTAAAATTTCTGCCCTGTGTATTCAGCCTGCAGGCATCTATCTCCTGAGCTGATAACCAGCATCCCAGTGGTCCATCTGGCTCTTGCTGCTGATTTCAGCCTTTGTTGTGCACACAAATTGCAACAGCTCTGAGGTCAGTTTTGGGTCGCCTGGACAGACATTAATCTGACGACAACCACCTACAGCTTAATTAAATCTACTGAAGTCAGTGTATTCTTGTAGAAAAACGCCTATCTTATGAGAAAACATCATCTAATAGGAGTGCCAACAATCTCACAAATTGAGACCCAAAAGATTTCCTTTCTCTTCCAAATAAATATCAGCTGTTGGGCTTGAATTCTAGAAGGAATTCCTTTGTCCAGAAGGATAGATGGATCAAGAAGCAAGTCTTCTAATCAGCTTTAGTTATTCCTTTAGGCACCTGCTGGTTTATTTTCATACCGTGTTTATATTGTGTTTGTTTGGACCATATTGTGTTTTCAACAGATGTATCAACGGTATTCAAACGCATTACTTAGGTAGAAGCAAGTTAAGGGCGACAGTGGCACAGGTTCAAGCCCCACTCAGTCTGTCACTGTCGTTGTGTCCTTGGGCAAGACACTTAACCCACCTTGCCTGATGGTGGTGGTCGTAGGGACCGGTGGCACCAGTGCTCTGCAGCCTCGATGTCAGTGCGCCCCAGGGCAGCTGTGGCTACATCGTAGCTCATCTCCTCCAGGGTGTGAATGGGTGAATGACTGATTGTGTTGTAAAGCACCTTGGGGGGTTCCAGGACTCTAGAAGGCGCAGTATCAAATATAGGTAAAAAAAAAAAAAGTACAGATACAAAGGTTTAAAGACTTCTGTAGGCGTTGAAGTATCAATTTGTGCTTTTTACTTGAGTAAAAAAAGTACCAGTTTCAAAATTACTTAAAGTATAAATGTAAAAGTAATTTAAGTAAGAAAATGCCACAAAGGCCTAAGCCGTGCCACAGCTCTACCACACCAGAGGCCACAATGGCTATAATGTTATTTAAATATGTTAATGTTGAAACATTTGGGATACACTAGGCCACCTGTTACTGCTGCATTGTTCCCCAATTGAAAATGAATGCATTTTAGTGTAATGCAAGTACATTGAAGGGACTTTACGGACTTTTGAATTTTTATGCTCGCGATTGCCCCCTCAGGCCAAAAGCATAACGGTAGCTTCAATAGTAGGCTCGTGCACGAGGCGCTCATGCTGTACGTGCACACTCCTTAACGAAAATAACAGCTGAGACAGTCCCGTGTGTGTGTGTGTGTGTGTGTGTGTGTGTGTTTGTGTTTGTGGCCCGGAGGACAGAGAACAGGAGAACGTGCAGCTAATTAATTAAATAATTTGGTTCTGTACCTTTCTCTTCAGCACAGCCGACAAAGGTTTAAGATGGGTCAGTCCTCCTGCATGCTCAGATCATTCCCTTCCCTTGCTTGAAAAATTGTTCCAAAATGAAAGTTGAACCCACATCTTTTTTATCTGTGAATTCAATGCCGTTCGGCGAGTCTCAAATAAAAATTTGGGCATCTTACTGTAAAAAAATATACCATTAATGTAAAAAAGAAACTCTAAATGAACTATGTTCACACCGTATATTATGTCGATGGTTCACACCCAGAATCAAACCCAGGTCTTCTGCATGGGAGTCAGACATCTTACAAGGTGAGCTACGCTCTAGTAACATTTACAGTATCTGTAACTTTTATATCCTTGATGACAGCTGAAACAACATCAAACCAAAGAACGGTTCGAAGCGAAAATGGCTATTTTGTTGCTAATTTGCAGGAAATATCTAGAAGAAAGTTCTACAGAAAGTAGCTAAGGGTCCTCAGACAAGTAGCTAGGTTTGTCACTAGGCACTACCTCTCTCTCTGCTGCTAAATTTATGGATAGCAAATGCTACGGGCTATGCCTGAGCGTGAACGCGCATGAAGCAGCCTGCTCGACCCGAACAACTCTCTTTTTCTGTGATGTTACAGAAAAACAGGCAATCACAGTAAAAATGCCAGGGCTCATTCTGCAGGACCAGGGCATTGCAGGATAATGTATGAAGACAAAATGTATTATTTCTATACATGTTTTGGCTGTCAAACTTCCATAATGCCCCTTTAAAGAACCATATGTGGATGATACAAACCAATAGGGTGTCTGAATGGTAGATGTTTAAAATCGTTATTCAACCCCAATCAAATTCAGTCTAAACAGATGGTAAAGTTTATCTTGACTGGTTTCTTCTGTGTTTAAAATTTTTTTTTTCTATTGATGAGCCTAAATGAGGCTTTTCTTATAAATGTAAGGAGTAGAAGACCAATGTTGGCCAATAGTTCATTACTCCAGTGAAATATAGAAACCCAACTATAGTAAGTAAATTAAGTGTTTGTACTTTGTCACTTGACACATTTGGTTATCAGATACTTTATAACCCACGTAATTAAGTAAATAGATGGTTTCAGTAGTAAGATTTTGCTGAATGATAATAAAAGCAGATTGTTGCAGATTTGGGGATCTTACTGATGATGAAGCAGAACCATATATCATTGTCAGGAAACAAAATATCAGTAACATTTTGACAAAAGTTCAATAAAATAGTACCCAATACAGATCCCTGTGGGACACCTTTATGAATAACCAATAAATTGGAGATAATGCCATTCACTGTAAAATTCTTAAGATGAGACAAAACACAAAGTGTTGTCTTGTTGTAGTGCTCTACTGAGGTTCTTTAACGTTCCAAGTGAAGTCTCCAAAAGTCACTTTAAAATGCTTTGAAGAGTTTGGTTCGTAGCCTGAAAGCAGCTGGGCTGATTGAGAAGTACAGCAAAATCAATGGATTACGCCTCTCCTTTGATCCTTTTGAAATACAACCTTTTTAAGTTGCATGTGAAAATTGAAACCCGATATTGTTCAGGGCTGATTGATTAGTTGGTATAAAAACCTGTCAGGTAACTCCGTCATTGCCGTGTACGATCTGACAGTCAGCATTGGCCGAGACGGTGCATATTTTTCTGCCTAATTAATGAGAAAGCAAGAAGTGTGTGTTTGAGATTTGATGTGCAGCTCTTTATTTATATTCTGAAATGCATTTCTCATGAGGTGTCGAGTAGCGACGGGGAGACACGGCTTTATTGGATCAGTCAGACTTCCTAACCTTCGGTGTGGAAACGAGGCCCGTTTCTTGGAGGAACACTTTCTCAATGAAGACAGCAAACTTCTGTGACAGAAATACAGCTGGACACTTCATGTTGTCCACTAACAATTAATTTATCTACAGAGATGGTGGGGTGTGGCTCAGTCCCTGCCAGGATCACTGTTGACTTGGTGATAATTAGATATTTGCATCCATTAGAACAAAACAAATAAAGCCTTGTTGTCTTCTGGGCATGGTGCTGGAACTGTTTACATGACAGGAAATGGTGACATTTCCATCAACTGAGAGCGTTTTAAATGGGCTACTAATGTGACCGTTGATTCGTTTGTTTTGGGCAGCAAGTGAGTCAGGTGACATGTAAAGCGTCAGGCTAATTTTACTGTTAGAAGGAAAAAATGTTGAGGAAGGAGGGCGCCCACTTGAGAACCTAAAGCGATGCCATCATTCAGTTGACGACCCCACAGAGTCCAACCTGCAGGTCTCATGTACACAAATAAAGATTGTGACATCTAGTCTTTTGAAACAAACATAATGCACCTACGTAACAGCTTCTGAAGGACTCGTCATAGTCTGGTGCCCGTCAGGACTTTTCTGGACTCTGTCCTCACTGGAAGTTTAAGAGAGAGAAGCCACTTCCTAGATGGGTAATGCAGCAGGGAGAACAAGGCTTATTACACTGGAAACCCACTCCACTGCTTCTGTCAGGCTACATAAAAGTAGAATTTAGTATGCTAGCTAATATAGCTAGCCTGGCTCTGGCTTCACTTCCTGTTCACCTGCTTTAAGCCAAGAACGCAGAATTTGTGCACACAGAATGGTGTGTGCAGAGAAGGAAGGGATGGTCGGATTGCAGTTTGGATCAGGACCTTCTATCAAACTGCACCATCATTAGCCGAAGCAACATTGACAATCCAGCAAAGCTCCACTGGCAGCTCCGGCCAGTATTGTGGCTGGCCAATCACAGCGCGTTTATTTAGAAAAACTATGTATTATTTTATATTTTTTATGTTTTATGTATTTCTTCCACAATGTAATGGAGTGGAAACCGTGGAGATCCTGATTCAGGATCCACGCCATCCAGTCATTAAAAGCAGGATGTTCACAATGATTGGACGATATTTTCCAGGATTGTGAGTTTTTGGACGAATCCCTTTATTGGTTACCATCAGTATATGTAGAGCCTTTCAAACAATACGGCAAAAATGCTACAAAAACATTACCTACTGCACATTTAAAATGCAGCTTTGAATCTGAAACTCAGTTTTAAAGCAATCCACACCATTGCTGAGGCATGTGATCAAAACATCTCACATGTAACTCAGGCCAACACAGATCCTAGCAACCCTCAGGAGAGCGAGGAGGAAGATTGATTTGTGAGTTAGCTTGCATAATGGAGTATTCACTACTGTTTTAAAGCTTCTACCCTTCTCGTTGAGTTGAAAAGGCTGCTTGCACGAGATGCAGAATGTCTTTTAAAAACCAAGAAAAGGTCAATTCAGTCTCCTTGTTTGAACCTGCTGATATTATCATACCCTGGATGAAGGGGAGCCATCACTAATGTTTTCTGAAACGATGCATCAGAATATCAGTCTAGCTCTGAATATGAAATATCTCTGCAGAAGTTATTATATCATGATTTTATTGTCATTCTTCTCTGGTGGGAAACTTTTGGTCGTGTTTTCCAGATGTTGAGCACACACAGGAAGAGCCACAACAGACGCATTAGGAGCAAATCAATCTGATGTTCAAATCACTGATTAAAGACCAAGTTCACTGAGAACCCGTTTTTTAAAAATATGATCTGTCACTCTGAGTTCACCATGCAGGAAAAATGGGACGATAGTCTACCCCTATGACCTGCATTAGCTCCTGATAGAAAATAGATTAGAAAAGCCTGACAGGTCTACGTCGCACCAAAAATTAACATTCATGGACTCATCCATCTGGACTTTAGACAGGGAAGGCTGTTGTTGGTTTAGCGTCCAGGAAACAGCAGAGAACGTCTCGACTAGTCGATGGTAACTGTTAGCATTAGCAACTCCACCACACAGCACAACTCCTCCAGGCTTGTGTTATTTGTGGAAATAAAACATCAACGTTGCAGAGAAAACGGAGTCAGTGGAAGTCGTGTTGCTGTTAGCCAATCAGAGGTGAGATGTCCGAATATCAGGAAATAAGACTCCAAATCGGGCTGTCTTCTGCTCTGCTCACTTCTAGTTCCTGAAACAGAAGGGCTAGAGCTTTTTCCCCACATAGATGGACTCACAAGGCATTCATTTATACTAGAGACAACTGCAGATGTGTGACAAAAAAAACAAGTGAAGGTGGTCTTCAATAAATTGCGGTCACAACCCAGTAAGGCACTGGATTTACCCTCCACTATTTAACTGACGTAAACACGGGCTGATTTGTAAATTTTCTGGGACAGACTAATCTAATGTTATCATCAGTGTCATGCCAGCATGGCTATTTGTTTGTGGACCACAGGGAAAAAATAAGCATTAGTGCTGAAAACGGACCCATTAGGAAGTAGATGCCTTTATTTGGACTCATTTTGTTTCCTACGTAAATATTTGATGTTTTCTTTTGCATAATAGTCAGAACGTGCTCAGAAAACAGTCGGATCCAGTAGTTCTGACTGAGAAGCACGAGTACGTGTTACAGCTGATCCACGCTGCAGCAGTTTGAGCCTCCAGTGCTGTTCTTTCTGTGTTTCAGGCATTGCTTGCCATCCGCCGGGTGCTGCTGGCCCAGCACGCAGCATTTCCAGTATCCGGTGCTGATCTGTACGAGGAACTATTGAGCTCCACAGCCATCCTCTCTACAGGAAATCCCAGGTAAAGTCAATTCTGCACACGCAGCAGAGCATGCTGCTTTGTCTTCCAGGGCCGGAGGGCTTTAACGGTGGGCTCAACAGTAGCACCGCGGCTTACAGGAAGGTTCAGCTTATTCTTGCTGTTACAGTGGATTTCTCATCAGTACCATCAGATTAAAGCTGCTGGTTAGTTTCATAAAGTTCACTGCTAGTGTGTTTGCTGTAAAAGTCTTAAGTTCATTCACTTTTTGGCTCTTAAGCATTAAGTTTTGTGTGCTCTGCCAAGTTAATTTGTTCTGCAGTGATGGGACGGTTTCATAATGTTGCTGCTCGGCTTTACCGACCGTCTCAGGTATAGCCTAATAAACCTTGTCTGGAGGTCCCTTTGCTCTCAGCTGGGAAACGGCTGTTCTGGTCCCTTTGTGTCCAGATTAGAGTTTCATTCAACTGGTCGTGTTGGGTTGTACGCTCTTATATGATAGCTCCAGATTTAAACCACACAATGCTGGTGGTTTTTTGCACATACGTCTATAGTTACCTCCCACTTCGATGAAAGTAGATTTCGGAATGAGCTGTAAAACTTTTCCAACGTGGAAATGGTCATCCAGCTGCTAGTTGGTGTTATTTTTTTTTCAAGATAATCTTCATTCAGCTTTGACTGCATGTTAAAGAGAACTGTAATGAAACCGTCTGCAGTTGTTAAAAATAATGGCATGCATGCTTCTGAGTTGTAGTGAGTGGGAGGATCAGACCTGAGCGGGAACACCTTTGGATTGGCGAAAGCAAGTATCTGTCACTGGGGACGTGTGCGTTTACAGTAAACGTCGTTAATTTGTTCGCTCTTATTGACTTGGTTTGCTTTGTGTTTTCATAAAGATTTGGACTTCTTTAACTTATCAAAGGAAAAATAAAGAGAGCTTTTTGTTAGCCTGACTCAAGTTGGCTGGCACAGCTATAGGCGACGTTCGTCAACGCAGTCGTTTGTGACGATGTTGAGCTAAGATTTGTAGGGACGTAAGAACATTTTTTTATTGAGCGTTTACATGCCAACATTTACCATTTAATTTTTTGGTGCAGTTCCAACACAGACTGCTAGGTAGCAGCAGTTTTTACAGTCTTAATCTGACAGAACGAAATCTCGCACCAACAGTGGACGTGTCACGGAAGTGTCTTTTCCACTTAAATTCAGTCTTAAAAATTGCAAATAATATGTATCTTTTAGTATCGCGATACCATACCATATCAGTTTATTGATAAAGCACATTTAAAAATAGCATGGCAGCTACACAGCATAGGAGTCAAATATAAAGCTAAAAACATAGAACACACATAAAAGCAAGGCATACAATTACATTAAAAGTTAGCTAACCATAAAACAAGTAAAAGCACCAAGATAAGAGATAAAAGATGGTGCATTGTATCGTCTGCCCTGTATTGTGATGTATCACCAGATTCTTGCCAGTACCCTAAAGATTTGGTGTCTTGCTAACCGAGTCATTCCCATCATATCCACATTTTAGACATTGAATTTGTGATACACTCTGACTTCTCTTGATATTTGTTTCAAGATTTTGCTTTTAGTCAACAGTTTGTCATTGGAGTCAACTAGAGCAGGGCGATATGGACCAACGCTCAATATTTTTCTGCTGAATTCCTATACTTCTCCGCCTGCATCGGTACGGAGAGACGCAACGCCATTTTGCGTCAATGCAAGGGCTCTCCAACAGGCTCAACTTTTTAACTGTCCGTCAAAAGGACTCCGCTTCCTTTAAATTTGTCAACAGCACTGCCATTGCCCTCTCAACAAACAAAACGATATTTAGCTGCAGACCCGGAACAGAATGAAGAACAACTCACGGAAAACGTCCAAAAATATGAAAGTTAACTCATCCGCGACTTAAGGAGTACAAAGACATGGAGCAAGCCTTTTATTTGTGGACGTAAATGATGGGATACGTGGGTTGAGAGGTATCGATCGAATAAAGAGGTTGAGGAGAATGTGGGACAAATTTGTCTGTTAAAAAATCTCTAAAAGACATAAAAACAACAAACACAATAGACACAATACACTATATTAGACAGGATACATGAGTGTAATGGTGGCTGGATACCACAGAAAAGCACTACGCCCTCTGTTGTCCTGGCGGGGAATTGCGTTGCAACTCTCCCCAGGTGACGGAGAAGTCGGAAGAAAAAACATCTCTGTCAATGCATGTGTGTGACTCGACACTTTCTTCTCCATCAGCTTGAGTCATGGTGAAAAGGCCAGCTGAAACACCAACGTCCCTCAGAAAACTAGAATCCAAGAAGCTGAGTGTAAAGTTTAGGGCAAAACATTAACCGAGACATTTTCATGACTTTAGACAACAGTTTACTGCGAGTTTTGTCAGCCCACGTTAAGAATACGTGTAACTGTTCACTGAGACACATCAGAGATGGAGAAGCAACAAGCTAGCAGTAGCAAAGCCTGCTAACTCTAGAAACTCACTGGTTGTATGTTTGTGTTGATTTAAACATAACTTGGATCATCTTGTGTCTTGCTTGAAAATAAAATCTAGACTTTTCAGTAAAACTTGAGAAGTTGTCCAGTCCTAGGGTCAACTGTGTCCTTCACAACAGTCTCTTACAACACTTTGTTGGACTGCTCATCAGGTGAAGTCGGCCATAAAAGATGATGATTATGTTTAAACCTTCATTATGAAAGTAATACTAGGACTTTATTAGTCATTTGTTTATTTACTTTACACTAAAATGGTTTTCCGTGGCTGTCTTGAGTCCTTCTGTGTCTTTCATTCATCACCACTGACGTTGGTTGATATGCTTCGTCCTCTATTAAACCTGTTTTTTAATTCAGTTTACACTGAATCCTGGTTTTAGTGAATGCGTCTTGATAATATCTACCTTAGTTTAGAACCAGTGTAGCAAAACCCAGCTGAGAAGGTAGTGTTTAAGATGTTCTGGCAGCTACAGCTGATGTTCCTCGCTGGTCCATTTGGCTCGTAAGTCCGCTCTTTAGTGGCTTCTGATATATCAGCTGCATTAACTCTGCCCTCAGCTTGGCCACTTTCTGCTGGGAAAAAGCAAAAACAAACACTGCAGACAAGTAATTTAAAACATCTTAGCGGCACATCAGAAAATCTAAATGGAATGACTTAGAAGATAGAAATCCCCACTGCTTCGTGTTACAGCCGGCGCAGCGCGACAGGAACGCTTTGTGTGGAGAGGTTAGCTGCTGAAACGTGGTTCAGTTGTCTCTGCCGCAGCAGAGCATGGAGGGTAAATATCCTTCAGCCGGGGCACAGACTCATTGCAGATCTGTGAAATGGTCCAGAAAGGTATTATGTATGAGATTTGGAACCTTTTCTAGTCGGAACTACAGTTTCGGCATAATTAATAACCACAGGTGTTTTTCTCCCTCTCTGTGGGTTTTATAAATTAGTTACAGCTCTGGAGCAGTGATATGAAACTAGATCATCATGTCATTGAAGCTGCTGTGATTTGTGTGTCTTTGGTGCCCTCTACTGGTGGTCAGATGAGTCCTTCTCCCACCATTTCTGTGTTGGAAAAACTCTTAAATGTGGAGATTTTCACTCTCCTTTCAATATTAGGTTAGGAATGATTTTTTTCTTTTGGTTGATTTAAAACCGTTCCTTTATTTTATTTAACTTTATGATCAACAGCTTTCATTTAAAGTTTTGGTTTGTTGTCCTGATTAAAGGCGCCACCTCCAAACACAGATTCCTGAATCTAACAGATTTTCCCCCAAATTCCTGTGATTGAATCATTTTAATGTATTATTGTCATTAACGGGTTGCCAGATAATAATTAGTTGGTTTAGTCATTTTATGTGGTCTGTGTGGTGGTGTAGGTGTGGACATGTTCACATATTGTTTCCCAAAAGTTTCAGATTTCTGTAGATTTTTAAACTTAAGCTTTAGTTATCTATTTATTCTGATTTCCAGCTATTTAACAATTTGTAAAAAGGGTCTCCTTGACTTATTTTGCACAAGTTTGAGAATTTCCCATCAATCCTTAAATTTACGGAAAATTGACTTTTATAACCTGATGTGGTGCGTGAAGCCATTCTTTGCGTCTGCATATTCGGCCTTTCCTTGCTTCAGGTCCAAATAGTTGTTTTCAGAAGAAAAGGATTCAATCTCAAGTGAATAATCCACATATTCAGGTGTTAACCTCCAGCTTACTGAAGACGCCATCTTTAACGCGTCTCCGTCTTTCAGCTGTTTGATGGATAAACGGTGAATAAAAGACTCTGTGATCCTTTTTAAGATGCTCATTTTCACACTTTTTACTGCTTAAATGTGTTCAATCACATTGGTAAAGAAAAGAAACCGCTCCTTTCAGGATCATCAAAAACACAAAGGTGAGAGTGAAAGGAAGCTATCGAAATAAAACATAGTTTTAATTTGTAAAGGATGAGTGATGAAAGCTGGCGGTGGGTCACAACTTTTATAAAACACCTAAAAGACCTAGGGCTGCATGATATTAGGAAAACCTGCCATGCATGATAACAGTGATTAGTATTGCGATGACGATGTGACTTGCAATAAATAAACAAATACCTAAAATCAAAATCAAAGAAATAAAAAAAAACTACTAAAATATAATAAAAATGGGAAAAGCTAAAATTGTGATCAAAAGATGTGAGGAAAAGGAAAATGAACATGAAAAGGCAATCAGTGGATCCTGGGAAAAGCAGAATTGGCAGAAAGAGCTAACGAAGCTAACTCAGGTGTTAGCTACCCATCTAAATTAAGTTCCATCCACCTAGGGGGCGGGCCAATCTATAAGAACCCACCTGATTGGCCAAATGGGTGAAGAGCTCCATTTGATTTGTCTAAAACTTCATGCTTCTGTTTAACATGCTTCTGTTTAACATGCTTCTGTTTAACATGCTTCTGTTTAACATGCTTCTGTTTAACAGAATGCATCGTGTGTAGCAGACGTCTGAGCCAACCATCCTTTACGCTTTTTCTGTTCTTTGCGATATGCGTATTGCGCATGCCGATATCGCGATGGTGATACATTTGCATTTGATGATGAAATTAGTAGAAATTACAAGAACATTTGATTTTGTCGTATAAACCATCATCAGATGAAAACGCTCATTTATAAACTTGTTATAGTTTTGTTATGGGGACTGAGAGTTGCCTAAACATACAGCAGTCTCAAGCATGACCCTGACCATGTTCCCTGTTTGTTTGTAAAACTGTAACGGTCCAGTAAAGTGAAACATTTATCCTGTAAATGTTCCCACATCACACGTGAAACCAGTTCTCCGCTCTTGCGTGGACTCCCCTCCAGTCAAACACCAAGACAAAGCCTTTCAAGTCTTGAGTGTTCTGAGCACGCTGATGACGACAGCCCAAGGGAGGTTATTTTTTTATGTGGGACTTTTCAAGGGCAATCACTTTCATCTCCTTCCACCGTGATGCTCCATCAACAGCAGCCGTCCTCTCTCTGTTGTCAGAATAGGCAGGAATAATGCAAATAAGTCCACCCCTACCAATTCCTCTCTTGACAATCAAACAGTGAGGGGGGGTTGGTGGGACTCGCGTGCTTAACCTTCAGGCCGGAGGACCTTGGCTGTGTGAATTTAAAGTAGTGGTAATCCCCTGTCAGAGTCTTACTCCACCCACATTTCATATTTGAAAAATGCGGCCCAAAGAGGCGTTTCCTGTAAGACCGAGAAGGCGGAGCTACGACTGTGATTGACATACTGAAATTTGAATACAGATGGCGACGGAGAGCGACAGTAGCTCAGAGCAGTCATTCGAGGTGGAGGACTTTTCCCCACCTTCTTCCCCAGAGGATAGGGAGGAGGGCTTATTGGGGGAAGCAAGCGGTCCTGAACCGTATCTTTTTGAGCCACTAGCTCGTGAGTTGTCAGAGGCCCCTGGAGTCGAGCCAGCAGGAGTATCAAGGCATCGAATGGGTCCAGTCTCTGAGTGGTAAGTAGCTTTTAGCCACAGCTAGCTATATTTAGCTTAGCTAAAAGTAATTTTGTATGACTGCCTCAACAGGTGCACCTTTGGCCACTGCACATCATTGTCTGCCAGAGAAAATGTGTGCTGCAGAGAAACGCCCAAGGTATAAAAATAAAAGTACCCCACCATGAGAAAAGCATTCTGTAATGTACACATTTGTTACACAATCACTAACATCATACTAATATTGAACTCTTATAGCCCTGATATCAGTTGTTCTTTGTCATAGGTAATGCTCAGGTGTCAGCAGGTGGGTGTAACCTCCTGCATAACAGAGCATCCTGGTTTTGAGGCTGTTGCTCTGAATCCCTACGTGTTGCAGGCAGTTTATGGCACCTTTCTGCAACTCTATGGGGAGATGCAGGAGACTACGCTCAACAGGTAAGACAACTGTCAAAATAATTTTTTTATGAATACTTTATAACTCATACCACCTCTTTCTCAGCTGTTACAGACATCTGGCGTACCGGAATGTGGTCAGGTGGTGTTGGGGTTACCTGGGACAGCACGTTCGTGTTGTGATCCCGTCATGCGCTGTCTCCAGAATAAGGCAGGAGTTCCCAGAAGACGGTGCATACAAAGGATTCCTCCCTCCTCTGAACTAATATATATTTTTTGGATTAAATAAATGTTATAATATATATTTCCTGTATTGATTCCTGTCCATAAAAAGCTGCATAAATCACAAAACGGTAAATGCACTTCTTTACACTTTGACATTATTTATATATACACACATATAGCCACACACTTTTCAAATGAGCTCTTACAACAGTAAGGTTCTAATTCGGGGTTAATTAATGCTGCTGTAACAAGTGAGTTTACACCCTGTGTGATTAATGAAGTCTAATCTAGAGCAGGTTCAATTAGGTAAAAATGAATGATAATTTAATAAATGTGATATATGTATTTATACAAATCAAAATATCAATATAATTGTATTTAAAATGACACAATTGCGCTTTAAAGATAACATTTATTATAGCTACTACTAAGACAACGTTAGATTACAATCTGATCATAACTTTCATGATTTTTGACAAAACTCTAAACCACAAGCAGAGATTCTGGAGCCATGTGAGGATAGGTTGGGCCATCAGTGATGTTTCTTTGGTTCCTTAGACTGGAGGTAGCTTTCACTGTGATGACAAACGTGGAGATGGATCCCGGGAGCACAGGTTTTTCTGTTACAAGATCAGGAGGCTCTAAGGAAAAAGTAATATTAGTATGACTAGTATGACTTACAAAAGCAAGACTGGTGAGTTTTGCTATGTTACATACGGCCAAGATTTTCAAGTTGTATGGGAGCCACAGAGCAGAAAGGTTGTAGAGATCAATAGACATCTGGGAGGTGGACAGCATGAGTCACGAGTGGATGAGCATAAAGATCCATAATGACGACAGGTAACTCCTCTGTCGTACAGTGGTGTGCAGCCTGGCTGAGGAGGAGAAAAGGAAAAACCACACAGAGTAGAATACTAACTAATAATTACAATCTCTTGTTGTGTAGCTCACCTTACGTGCACTTTAAAACCTGGACCTGTGCCTGCTCACAGCATCCCGTTTATCTGGTCTTTGGAACTGGGCACAGAGCGGTTCTGGAACCGTAATTTTGTCCGAGTACTCCTGATATGGGAGAGGATCCACCACCACAGAGTCGAACAGCAGGTCCATAAGCTTGTGCACATATACTGGAAAAGGGTTTTCAGTATTACAATAGCTCTCCATGACCATCATTTTGGTTTTATCATACAATATATGACATACATGAGGTTGGATTGGTCTTCAGGGCTCTCACTGTGTAGTCTCCACGTTTGTACTTTGGGTACACTACAGCATATCTCAGCTCACCAGTTGCTGTTGCTGCATGTGAGCGTGCTGCATTTTCATTATAGTGCATTGCAGCAATTTGTAATCTGAAATAATCAAATAAACAAACCATGTAGATTTGAGGCAAAATTCTACATTTCATTCTAAAATTTGAACAATTAGAGCCATTAATTTGAACATTTGTTGTATTCATTACCTAGACAGCATTCCTTTGAAGGAGAAGACTTGACTTTTTGGAGTAAATCTGATGATGAGACTGTGGAAAGCCTCCAAGGTGGATGTGTGGTACTGAGTGCTTATCTTCTCTACGTCCTTCACAAACCGTGGAGCTAACAGAATGGCAGTGAGCTTCTCACATGATGCTGTGCCTACGTAGAAAATGTTAATTACAAAAATTACAATTTGATCAACTTTAGAATGTTGCTATTATTTCATTGAGAAAAAGTTACCCATAGCTGACATTTTTAGATGACAAATGTATGAAAGAGTGACTAATAGTGCTGTAGACAGGTGTGGTAATTACTTACGGCATTTTAGTACATATTATGTCAATTATGGCTGTTCTGCCTAAAACCATGAGTTGTGTGGCGCACTCGTGTGTTTAAATTTCTGCACAGCATTTTATTCTTAGTAATTAATTGCTGTTGGCCAAATGGTGGTGTGTGACCTTAGCAGCCACATGTGACGTCTGTAACTCTCATGCTCCAAAAATATTTCTCCATGTTGAAGGAGGTGAAGACAAATATTCTGTTGTGGGGTGACGTGTTTTAAATGTAAAGAAACCAAACAGTAAAGGCTCAGCTGTAATGAGTACATGCTACACTTACTTGGTTTGAGCCACTGTCTTGCCTGTTCTCCATCCAGAGGTGCATGCAGACAGCTAGGGAACAGGGCGTTGTCATGGCTGTGCACATTTTGGATGTGGTTGGCAACTGAAGTCCACTTTGCTACTGCCTCCTGTCCTGAGGAGGAACTGGATGCTGACCAGTAGAGGTGGTTCACCACACTTTGCTTCCACAGTCTCACATCCTGGGTCGTCTTTCTCTTCCCCAGCTCTTCGATTTTCTTACCAATTCCTGGAGAGCCAAATAGACCCACATTTAAAATAGAAAAAAAAATCCTGTAATATTCACTATATACATCCACAAAGATTACCTTTTCCCATGTGCCAGGGGTCAAAGTAGTGACTGATTTCCTTTTTTTCCTCCCTCAAATACTTCTGCACTCCTGTGTGGCGGTCAGTCACGACTTGCTGCACATCGACCCCCCTCTCCAAAAGTGTGCTCAGACTTCTCACAAATCCCTCCTTCTCCATTCGCACACTATTTCCAACTTCATTGCTCTGAAAATAAACATAATTCTCCATTGATCTGTGAATAATTAACCATGAAATGTTTTGGAATCATCAGGTAATGTTGTACCTGTGCAAGTTGGATATCAGTAACTTTGTTTCTTTTGAGATCCATCATGGTGCAGCTGCCATATTTGGCTGAGTGTCCTTCAAGAAATGCAAGTTATTACTTAATTTACATTTGATAGCAAAGGAATAAAATAAATAAATTTAAAAGTATTCACCAGGTGAATCAGCTCGCATGTCACCACCAAGAGTCACAGGTCCAGATTCAGTAGCCTCCTGGATGATATCAGCTTGCTCTAGCTGCCACTGCCAGCTCACTGTTGGAATTAACAGCTTTGCCTGTGGTCGAAAGAATGTCTGCTTGGACAGTCCCTGCACATTGAAGGCACCCAGGAACTAAAATATGAAAAGTTACGACATGAAATGAGAGACGCACAGACCTTATCAAAACCAACCTAAACAGTTTTGGCCTATACCTTAGAAATCTGGCTAAATGATGAGCCTGTGAAAAGGACAGCAGCACAGAGCTGGAGGTTTCCTGCTGGGATGCTGTTCACCATGGGCTGACTGGACCACTCATTGTAGTGCTCACAGCATGAACACCGTTGTGTCACACGGAGCAGTGTGCCGACTGTTGTCGTGTTCACAACACAACGACCGGTACAAACGGGACACCTTCTGAACAGCCCCAGCAACTGTTTCTCATGAACAATGTACTTCTTGTCCTTTTGTGGATGGACCTCAGTGAAAGAGCTGTATAGAACACATACATTTATATATATGGTCATAACTAAAAAATTCTAAAATGTTATAATTTTTTTTTACCTTGAACAGTTCACTGAGCTTGCACTGTCATTGAGGTGGAAGCTGGGATCAACAACAGACACCTCATATCGTGGTCTTTTCAGGGGTGTGGACGCAGCTCTGGGACTTTGTGGAAGATGAATTTCCGTCACGGTACCTGTGTCACAAGACACACTGCGGCTGGGAGCTTTAAACTGGGTGGCTATGTAAAATACAAAGAAGCAGCACATTTATAAATGTTTAAAAGAGCATAAAATCACATGTAACAATAATCTGCAAAACAAATAAAAACTAGAAGGTAATAATAAAATGTTTACATAGAAGATTATTAAAAATAATTCACCTTTGCTACGTCGATAAGGCTTTACATGAGCCTGGACAAGTGCATTTTTGCAGATTACTAAATCAGTCTGACAGCCAACGTCTTGGGTAGATTTAGCCTGAAAAAAAAAATAGAAGCACATTGTTGTTGTTGTTTATAAAGTCAGATAATATACAAAAGAAACTGTCCGAAATATATATATATATATTTTTATATATATATATATATATATATATATATATATATATATATATATATATATATATATATATATAGGCGCTTTATGACATTCCTAGTGTGTGATCGTTATTATAACGTAAAAGTCAGTCACATATGATGTGAAGAACCTGAAATGCGACCTCCTGAACAGAATTCCTCACAGAACCGGGTTAGGCTTTGGTGTAAAGCTGGATTTCACGCTGTAATGATGTCTGTCAACTAGTGCTGCGTTAGAGCCACTGTTGCTGAATTACCGACTGACACAAAAACAACCCGAATTTTCTCCGAGCCTGACAGAAATAGTCAAGTGGACCTTTTTTGTCGGCCAGGGCTTTGAGAAATGTTCCGATTCGCCGCTGATTCTAACCTTACATCCCGTTCCACATTTTGTGAACTTGACAAATTAGCCCGAAGGCAGTGCAGGCTGATATTAGCTAAATGGAGTGAACCACGTCTCTCAAACTTTGCATTTAGGTAGGGAATTGTCTTTAGAAGATGTTAAAACGTTTATTTAGCTTACTCACCTCAGACTGGAGCCCGCCATGGTGGGGGAGCAGAGTCGGTGGGCTGCATCTAATTCGTGGAAGAGCCACGGTGGGCACGGCCTCACTCTTCAAACGGAGACGTGCAGAATAACCCAGTTCAAACTCCATCATGTTGGCGAAGGAATCGCGGGTAAAATGCTGGTTGCAGACTACAGCACCAGGCGGGAGCTGACTGTTATCCTGTACACCGATTGCGCGCAACCACTGGCGCCTAATTTCTAAGTCCAGTGGAAAGGAGTGCAACCCCACAGAGCTACCACAACCAACTAGGAACACTAAACCCGAATTATTTTCCTAATAAAACTAACAGCTAAACACTAACTAAACTACAATATCTAACAGCCAAGCTGACACTAAATAAGTACTAACACGATATGGAACACTAAACCCGAACTACTTTCCTAGTAACACTAAAAGCCAAACACTAACTAAACTACAATATCTAACAGCCAAGCTAACACTAAATAAGTATTTATAACACTAAAAGCTATGCTAAAGACTATAATATGCTAATGCTATATGCTAATGCTGAACTACCGCTAACCGTCCGACACTCACTTGCAAATCCAACTCCCAACTCGCCACAAGGCGTGGCCGAGACTCTCCTTGCTTTTATAACTTTGGCACAAGAGCTGCTACGTAGTACTCTACTGGTTTACGTAGTATCTTACTCTTTAGCCATTGGCTAAAATTTATTCAAAATGTGTCAAATTCTGTGTTTTAAGCTGAAGGTGGCGCATTACTGTGGTTTTTAGGCTGAATATTTAATTTTTAAAGAAAATGCACCAAAATACTAAAATAATGAATACACACATTTAAAACACTATTAGACACTCATTTATACAGTTCATCAGCAAAAAAAAGTTAATTTAGACGTTACTTGCTCTTTAAGTGCTCGTCTGTTGTCTCATCTATCATCACAAGTAAGAAGATGAGGCTCCAAAAGCTGCACAGATCGTTGGCCTGTGTCTAAACAACAACAAATCAAAACGCTGTAAAGGTGGACGATACTTGTTTTATTCATCCCGGTTCTTCTTCTAGATCAGTTGTTAAAGGGACACTATGCAACTTTTTCATATTTTTAAATCATTTTCTTGAGCCAGCATGTGCTAAAATGACCCTTTACAGTAGAACATCGCTAATGTACCGTCGTCGCAGTATCGGCATGTGTAAAACGCGTATCAAGACAAACAGAAGAAAACGCAATGAATGGTCAGCTTAAATGTTTGCTACACATGATGCATTTTGTTAATCAAACAGAAGCATGACATTTTTGACAAATCAAATAGAGCCCTTCACCCATTTGGCCAATCGGGTGGGTTCTTAAAGGTTAATTGCCCGCCCCTAGGCGGACGACACCTAATTTGGATAGCTAGCTAACACTTGAGTTAGCTTAGTTTTGCCAATTCTGCTTTTCCACGGATCCAATGATTGCCTTTTCTTCATTTTCTTTTTCCCTTTCCTCGCATCTTTTGGTCACAATTTCTGCTTTTGCCATTTTTTTTTACATTTTTAGTCATTAAAAAATGTTTATTTTATTTTTATTTTTTGTTTTTGAATTAAGTATTTGTTTATTTATTGCAAATTATAATTATTATCCCGCATCTCAGATTTTCCTACTATCGTGCAGCCCTACTTGGGTTAATGGAATGTCGCTCAGACCCCACTGCCCTCTGTGGCCAGAATACCGCAACTGCAACTTCAGAGTTGCCGATCTGGTCCAGCTGGTGGGGGGAGCTGTGGAGTGGAGTGGAGCTGGAGTCTGCTTCCAGGATGTTTCCTGCATGTTTTCGATGTAGACCGGAAGGCTGAGGAAACGTTTCAGCTGTTAGATTAAGGTGTTAAAAAGACGAACGCACAGCAAGGAAATAAGTTTCACTTTTGCCTTGACCACCGAAAATACCAAAATCATCATCATTTCACTAAAACGGAGATCATTCATTTTTTATGACTGCAAAATACTAAAAATTTCACCCGTTTGTGGGTGAGAATAACTAACCAAGTACAAAGATAGGTTCTGATTCTAGTTAATAAGGTTAAGCTATTCTTCTTCTGGCTGGCTTCATCATTTTCAGCTCGGTGGCAAACCGAGTTACTGGAGCTGCAGCTCAGAGGAACCACTGAATGTTAAGCAGAGAATTGGCTGCTTTATTCAGTCGCTTATCTCTGGGTACATCAGCACAATTCAGGATCACAATGGATTAGAGTTCCTGATCTGTTGTTTAAAGAGCCTGTTCTTGTTTATTTACAATGGATCAGGAGTCAACATGATCAAAACTAATCATTTATCTGCTTAAGATCTACGAGGCACATGCTTTTATTGTAGTGGAAGTTGCTTAAGGATTAATGCGTAAAAGTTTTTGGTAACTTTTGGATGAGTAGCTGTCAAAACAGTTATTTTTTTAAATAAATCAGAATGTGTGTTCTTAGAGAGCACCACCTAGAGGCAGAAAAATGCATTGCACCGTTATGAGGCAGCAGTAGCTCAGGAGGTAGAGCGGGTTGCCTCATGGGTTTGATTCCAGCTCCCACCAGGGGTCTTCTGCTGTTTTGTCTTTGGGCAAGACACTTTGCCCAACTTGCCTGTGTTGGTGGTGGTCAGAGGAGCCGACGGCGCCAAATGGCAGCCTCGCCTCTGTCAGACCGCCCCAGGGCGGCTGTGGCTACAAAGTATCTTACCATCACTGGCAGTGTGTGAATGTGAGAGCGCATGAAAGCGTCTTTGAGTGTCCTAAACAAGCGTTATATAAGTTTGATGTATTATTAGTATTATTAGTTGTATTATTATGTCCCTACATATAAATATTTTTAATACTTTCTTGTCAGTGAGAACTGTCTTCTACTGTGCACCTGTCCGACATCTGAGTTGATCACAGAGATCATTCCACTCTTGAAAGGGGAATTTTTGGCCGGTCTTTGAGGCGCTTTTTGGACAATTTATTTCTGTGGACTTCACTTTACTTTGGTCTGACTTTGAAACAGTCATGGAATTTGTGTTTATTGTGGCTGTGAATGTGGCTGGAGCAGCTCCATGGTTTGCCGTGTCTTTGCAGCTTCGTAAACAGCTCGAGACTGCTGCTGAATTTAGGTACTTTCTCGAACGCTCACCCGTTAGGCCAGTGGTCTGTATGTAAGTGGATGTCGAATGCTATTGG